TGTGGCCGAGTTGACTGCAGCCGAACTTTTTGTGGCCGAGTTGATTTGTGGCCGAGTTGACTTGTGGCCGAGTTGACTGTGGCCGAGTTGACTTGTGGCCGAGTTGACCTGCACCCCACCACCTCACTCACCCCATTGAAAGTAGATTAAATCAGTGTTAATTTTTAAAACATATAGGCCCTAGTGTAAAATTTATTCAGGAAAACAATGTATCGTACATGCGATATTATGTAGGTTTTTTTGCACTGTACAGCAAGGCCATATAAGATTGCAGTGGAGGAGGTTGGTGTAGGGGTGTGTAAAGGTGGACCAACTGCTGGGGTGGGGGAGACATTTAATATATGTCTGGCATATCAGACCTATACATTTAAACATTTGTCGCTATTAAAATATTCAATTCAAAACTTCATTGACAGTCAATTGACCTTAAAGTTTTAATAGATGTGAAGCATTGCACAGATCGGTTTTATGAATTACGGGGTAGCAATTGTACTCCAGAATCGGTTAGATTATGCTTAGAGGAAATCAAAGAACAAGAGTGCAGGAAGAGCAATGTCATTTTTTTTTGGAATTCCAGAGTCTAAAGATCAAGATGGCCATGTTAGGAAGAAGGAGGATGAGGTTAATGTTAGAGATAACCTGCTATCGTTTTAAGGAAAGAAGAAAGAAGTAGGGCACAGACCCTAAAAAGTAGTTTTTGAGAAGTCAGAAATATGTCAGCAATTCATGACTAAGTGGAGACAGACCAATTCATCAGACATAGGTGTTTCTAGAGACAGGACACGTTCCGAGAGACAGTTGTATAAAGTTTTAAGGGAAGAGTTAAAAAGGAGAGAATTAAGTGTGGAAAACGACTTACCGCCGGAAAGTATTGCAATTTTTTCTGCGTGCATGCTTCGTAGATACATCAGAGCCTGATATAAACAATCTAAGCTTGTAATGTTGATGTCTTTTTGTCAAAGCGCTATGTAAGATAGCGCTTAATAAATGAAATAAATAAATAAATAAGCAAGGCTACGAAGCGAATCTACGAAGCAAAAACCTGTTGTTTATTTGTATGTGCAGAAAGACTATTGTAGCTTACTGGAATAAACAATGTATTGCTTGATAATTTGTGAATGACAAGCACAAGTTTAGACTGTTAATTTAAAGTATGGAGCTGTTTTTCAATAAGGAAAACGTACACTTGACTTCCACTCAGTGTCCACGACAGGAACTTGTTTTATACTGAACTTGTATTATTTTTTTAATTAATTAGCCTAGGGCCTAGCCTATATTTTATTTACAATTATTTTACAAGATTTTAACTGTTAAAAAATGATGTCCTCAATAACATTACACATGTGAAAAGATTGTTCATCAAATAATATTTTGTAGTCTTTATTTAAGTAAGAATATAAAGGAAAGTTAACGTCCGTTGATTGTAAAATTACCAAATGTCACATGGAAACTCCAATGGAAAATAAAACTTGGCGAGCCAGTTCATCTTGTCAACCTCGAAAATCCAGCATCGGACAGCGCGCGCGCCAATCAGAACACAATAAAGTGTGTTAAAGGTTAACCTCGTGGCAAATGTTGAAAAGCTGTGAGTGACGGTGAGTAAAAAGCGAAGAAAATGTGGTCTAGCATGACTAGCCTTAATTCGGCAAGATAGTGATTTCTATAGTTTCATTAGTTAAAAGTTAACCAGTATAACTACTGTCTGCTCTCCTCCTCTTTTAGGGGAAATGTAGGCCGTAAATGACATCGAAATTCGAACATACTGAAGGCCCACCACTACAGGCCTACTGTAGGTTACCTACAGTAGCTAGACTAGCTAAATACGGTTTTAAATCATGATCGATCTATTATAAGTTAGGAAATAACAAAACAATATTGTTTATGCATTGTTTATCAGACTGACGATCCAGCCTACGATCATTGCAAAGCTAATTAAAATAACAATAACCTTCTTAGTGGTTTGTAGCTACGTTTAAAATATAGACGAGCAGATTACAAGAGGTTACGCGCAGATACGAAGCGATAATTTCTGTCTGTATTGTAGTCATCAGAAATGGAAAGGTAGTTAAAGCTTGTTTTTGTGCCCCAAGATTTATAAATCAGTTCCCAAGAAGCACAAAAGAAGAAAAATTACCATGCAGGTGATGGTATCTTAGTTTTCTTTACTCTTCTACAAATAAAAAAGTCTTTTAAGTTTCTTTATACCAATTCTGATTCTTTGTTGAACAAATGCGAGGAGTTAACTGCAAGAATCATAGTACATGATCCAGATATTGTTATGCTATGTGAGATGTTACCAAAAAATTTTCAGTTTGAAATTCAGTCTGAGGAGTTTAACACAGAAGGTTATCAGTTATTTCTACCAAAAATTATGAAAAGAGGTGTCGTGGAGTTTGATGATTTTGAAGAGTCGGTATTGGTAGAGGTTTCTATAGGGAATAATGCAAAGTTAGTGGCAGGCTGTATTATCGAAGTCCAAATAGAGATTTGTAACATGGCATACCAGTATAAGGCTGAATACATGGTTGTGTGTGGAGACTTTAATTATAAGCTTATTGATCGGAACAACTCAGTGGTAACGAGTACAAGGTTATTGGCGAAGGCAGTGCTTTTCTTGATTTAATTAATGATTTATTTTGGTTCCAGCACGTAAAAAGCCCTACTAGATTTCGAATTGGGCAGGAATCCAGCTTATTGGATCTTTTTTTTTACAAAGGAAGAATTTATTGTTGAGGAGTTAAGTATCACACCCCCTCTCGGAAAGAGCGACCATGCAGTACTATCCATCGAATTACTGGTAGGTGATCAAGTCTGTAAGGACACGGTTCAAATCAGAAATTTTTACAAGGCCAACTACAATAATATGAGAAGAAGATGAACAAAATTGACTTGGCTAATATTTTTAGAAATATGACAGGTGTTGAATTTTGCAAGGAATTTGAGAAAGTCATAAATGACTGTGTGAGGGACTGTGTACCTTTGCAAACAAGGAAAAAAATAGACAAGAAACAGTGGATGCATGCAAAAATAAAGATGGCTATTAATGAGAAACACACAAAGTGGAACAGATACCAGAAGAAAGAAGATTATCGAACTTCGGCTGAGTACATCAATGCTAGAAACCTTGCTAGCTAGAGAAATCAAGGTAAACCCAAAAGTTTTTGGAAATTTGTCAGAAGCAAATCAAAAGTGAGATTAGGAATTCCAAATCTGAAGAATTCAAATGGTGAGTGGTAATCTGTGACAAAGAGAAAGCACAGCTGTTCAATATGTTCTTCGTCTCTGTGTCTACAAATGAAAACTGATCAAATATTCCAACGTTACCAAGTAGGTCTACAGACTCAACAATTTCAACTGTAGAATTTTCATCTGAGGAAATTATTAAATATATCAGACATCTGTAAATCATATAAATTCCAGAGTTTTTAGAGAGACAAGTGACGTAATTGGCATTTTATTAAAGGACATCTTTACAAAATTACTGATGGAAGGAGGTATGCTGAAATCATGGAGTAGAGCAATGTGGTCCCTATTTTCAAAAAAGGAAATAAAAGTGATCCATTAAATTACAGGCCAGTGAGTCAAACTTCTATTCTTTGTAAAATTCTTTGTGAAATTTTACTCAATTTAGCCATTGGCTACAATGTAAATTCTTTTGTTGTTGAATAAAATCCTTGAATGAAAATGAATAAAACAATGGAATCATTTATAAGAGATGCGATCATGGTACATAATGTAAGAAATAATTTATTTTCAGATCATCAGCATGTTTTTAGATCAGGTCATTCATGCACAACTCAGTTACTTGAGGTTGGCAAAAAGTGGTCTAAACTATGGAAGAAGGTCACAGTTTCAACTGCATCTACTTTGCTTTAAAAAGCCTTTGACAGTGTCCGGCATAAAAGGCTTTTAACAAAACTTAATTCATACGGTATTGATGGAGACCTGTTGAACTGGGTCAAAGCATTTTTGACAACACATAGACAGAGAGTGGTAGTGAACGGAACGAAATCTAATTGGCAGCCAGTAATTAGCGAAGTGCCACAGGGTAGTGTTTTGGGTCCACTGCTCTTTAATATTTACATTAATGGTTTTAGTTTAAGTACCGTAGTTTAAGTCCAAATTATTTACTGCTTGTTTTTCCTTTCTTGTAAAGAACATTGAGGCTTTTTGTGGAATGCGCTATAGAAGAATGGAATTATTATTATTATTTTTTCCAAAGGTTACATTATCACATTTTTGATGCTGATTTGTTATTTATTTATTTATTTATTTATTTATTTATTCAACAATATTTCACGAGGGGGCTCTTACAGCGAAGCTGGCTCAAAGAGGCCCTCAACAGTAAATACAAAAATATAAAAAGGACAGATATAAAAATACTATAAAACATAAAATCGGGCCGGGTGGAATACCGATTTCTACTTAATCAATCCTTCGGCCAGGTGAAATCAATTCCCTAAGGCGTAAGCTAAAACAGTTGATATTTAAACACGCTATTTAACATTTTGTTAACAAAACTTGATACCATCCATTGTAAAACAACTTATGTTAGGCCTACTAACCAATTCCCTACAACACTTAGGGAGGTTGCTTTTATTGTACATCATAAAAGGAATATTTCTAGTTCATTTGAACTAAGCAGTTTATATTATTTTACTTAATTTTTAAGGGTTTTAGTATTTATCACAGATGGTATCTTTAATGCTACAGATCGCTCTTGCAAGTTTCTATGAGGAAGATGATGGCGCCATGGACGTAGTAGAAGTGCCTGCCACGGAGGCACGCTCGAGCCTTGATATTGTAGATGTCACTCCACCTATATCTAGTCCATCTGTAAATGCCCCACCACCAAAGGCAAGCAGGTAAATATGGCACTGATAGCTTGTTTTTCTTATGGCTAAATGCGAGACAAATTATTGAAATTATTACAATTTCTGATGTTTAAATAAAACTATATTTTTATCACTATGATTTTTGTGAGTTACCAAATGTTCCCTGATTCTAAATGTTGTATGTAGAATCATTATTGCAGCAAATATAGCACTGTAGTATCTATGTAGTCAAATAATGGTAGAAACAGTGCTTGAAGGAACTATATGTATCAGTAGCGTAGTGAAGGGGTGGTATTCAGGCATTAGTTTAATACAGAATATATTAAAATACTTTTTAAATTAATATTGATATTAGCTCTAGAGTCGTGACAGTCAGTGACATGAAGAAAAATCAGAACAATGAAGAGGAAGAAGAAGGACAACGATTCTATGCAGGTGGCTCAGATCACAGGTATGTAAATTTGCATTTAATTTTGTGTATTATGTTTGTAACAATCTACCAGGCTCAGTAGCAGAATGTCTATGGGCTCTCGTGGGGGCGACACCCTGGCCCCCTGAGTAAAGGGGAGGGCAGTATACAGCACTCTTCTAACAGAGCCTTGGCAATATAGTCCAGTAGAAGACATCCACAGCTAGCAAATTAGTATAATGTAATGCCATGTTTTTAACTCTGAAATAATGAATGAAAGGGCTACTACTGGAATTAACGGAGAATTTGAATTTTTAAAATTTTTTTATTTATTTAAAAAAATTTAATTGGTTTAAAAATTCTCATTAAAACGCATGTCTGAAATGAAAAGTTTACAAAAGAACACATCAAACAAATCATGAAAGTCAACAAGAAAAAGATACAATTCTTTAAATTATAAATAGTTACAGTGCTCCTAAAAATTGAATTTATTTACGATTCAGATTTATACATTAAATTGTAAAAAAATAGGGGAAATTCAAAAAGAGACACTTTACAAATCTTCACTGTAAAATCAACTCATTGTTAAGAAGTCCAATCACGCTTGGAATATTTGAGGAGGCAAATCTTTTGGTTCAACAACATGGTACCACAAAACGATTACACCGGCACAGCTGCCTTTCAGGTTTTACTTGTTCAGGAATCCAACTTTTGAAGCTACTGTAACCGACATCAACAACTTCTTTCCAAAATCATGAAGGATAACTTGGCGTCTCTCTTGTGGAGTACTCAAATTTAATATTCCATGTGGGTGTTTGTAATTAGCATAATCATGCTGTACACAAACTTAATCTTAATAATATGAGGTTTAGGGAGTGGAGTTGTTTTGGCTGAAAAAAATCCTGCAACACTGACAGGAATTTGACCCAGGGCCCTGGCGTTGGAAGGCAAGATCTTACTCATCAAGTTATTCAACTTCACTCAATTGTTTTAAACTGCTAGAATAATGGAAATGCAATGGTTGATGGCAACAATGTTTACAGCACCTGCACAAGTTAGATAATGCATACAATTACCCCTGCCATTAAAAATTTTAAAAGTTCAATCACACTTGTTGCACAACAGCAACAATTCTCTAAACAACATATGTTAAAATCGTTGACTAACAGACCTTTTTTTAAGGTTCCTTCCCGTGTGCCAAAACAAGTTTACATGTACAAACATACTTTTTAAAAATTTATCAAGTCATATATCATCAAAATGATGTGTCTAATAAATTGGCGGGAAAATATTCGGGGACGAGTAAGCTTGTCGACGGCACTGTGATAGCACTTTTTATTGACTATGCCAAGTGCCAAGTATCTCGTCCGCTTTTCGCATGGGTTGGTATATGTTCAAAGTGTGCCCCCACTTGTGCCGCTCGAGTGTACTATCAGAAGCATAACACAACAAACATACAAACGTCCTCTGTACGTTATCGCCTAGGTGTATCTTCCCCGAACTACCAGCTGTTGAGTCTAATGGTTTTGTAATGCATAACAAAGAAGTTATAAATGCTAGAATGTTACCCCGACATGTGGGCGAGTGTACTCGTCGCTGGCAGCCAACGTGTTAATAAATTTGTAATATACCAAATTTTTTATTTTACATATAATGATCATATTTGTATATGTCTATATTCCTGCAAAATTTCTGAAGCAAGACAATTGTAAATGGTTGCAAAACATGCAAATTTTAACTCTGCCTTTCTCTGCTTATATTTATTCCAAAAACATTATTTTGCCTTTAATGGCTGCCAAACTTTGTTAAATACAGCATAGGTAATTAAATTTTATATTATGTCAGTAATAAATAGAGCTTTCTATTCTGCCTGTTATTTTTTTGTAGTGGACAGCAAGTCGTTGGCCCAAAGAAAAAGAAAACAAGTGAAATTGTAGACAACCTATTTAAAAAAGCTAAAGAGTAAGTAATATGTCAACATTATATATCTTTTTAATTGTATTGTGCAGTATTAAAATATGAAAAATATTTGATGGAGACTACTGTATGTATGTGGTGTCATCATATTTATAGTAAAGTAAAGCAAACATAATAATACTATTTAATGTTATCTATAATAATAAAATATAGTAGTAGTAGTACTTTATATTCTCAGTTGGACATAGCTTTCTGGTAGCTACATGGAAGGTAACTCTTTCTGTTGCCACTCTCCCTGCTTCAACTACACTCAGTTCAGTTTTGTTCCTCCCACTAATGCCAGTCGCATCCTAGAGGCTGTTTTCTAGCAAGTATATGCTCATTGGGATTTATTTTTTTGTTTTGTTTTTAGTGTACTTTCATATAGGATTCTAATCCATACTGTAACATGCAACCTTAATTCTAAGTCATTACTCTATTTGTACTACATCAATCCAATAGAAAATTCAGTATTAAAAAAAATATGGGTCATTAACATTGCATCATGAAATAATATTGAGAACATATAAAACTATTGTGTTTTAATTACATTTTAAAATGCTGATTTCATATTATAAATGAATTGTATTCCATTGCAAATTATTGCTATAAAATTAGTTCTAACTCTACTGTAACTGATTCTAATGTCAAATATAAAATTAATGTAATGTAATCTTGGTATGAAAACATGCCAAAAACCCCTATCAAGGGGACAATTTCATATTTTTGGTCGGTGTCCCCTGAATAGGGGTACACTCCTATTAAGGTGACACTTGTTTTTGTCCTGACTGAAGGTGTTTCTTTGAAAGGGGTTCTACTGTATTGTTGTAATGTTTGGAAGGACACAGTATTCATTCACAGAATTCATAGTTGACAAGCTTTCCTGTATATTTTTAAAACATTTGAATTTTGAGACAGCATCCATTATTTTTGCCCTACATATATATAGCTGGTTCCTATTTGTGATGGTATAATTATTTATTTAAAATTTTGGCGATTTTCTGTTCCCACATTAAATTTTCAGGAAGCTTATTCACATCATAAGGTGCCCCTGACATGAGTTAAAAAGGAAGTAAAACGATATATATTTTTTATTCAACATTATAATCTATAATATTAATTATTATTGTTTAATAACAAGAAAATATCTGTTTTATATCAATGTTTAGGGCAGTTTAATACTTGAGTTACTGCTAATTAGCTCAAAGTTTGTTAGCACGTATCTCACTAATTTAGTGGCGTCGAGCAAAAATATTCATTTCTGCCCATTTTTCATGAGTATTAATCATTCCTGAAAACTTGAAACAAATCTGAGACGTTAGGAGACATTTTTGTTTGATTTGATGTGGAAGGACCCTCTTCTTAAATGTATATTTGGGTTTTTTGTTACCAATTGCTTCTGCTCTTTGTATCGCTGATATCTTTCTTGAGTTGTGCATTTTTCAAATTTGATCGAAGTTGCAATAAAGTATTATATTTTAAAGACATGGAGCAGAGGAAGTGTCTTCAGGCAGTGATCCAATTCAGCCATCAAAACCTAGGAACTTTGCTGGGGTAGGCTACAGACTGGGAGATACAGAAGATGAGCCTAGCCAGACTGTACAAGGGGGATCAGTAAGAAAAGAACAGACAGATATGCATTGTAGAATAAAGCTGTGGAAAAATGGGTTTAGTGTCAATGATGAAGAGCTACGGGATTACAAGGACCCTACAAATTCTGCCTTCCTTGGAAGTATCAGCAGAGGGTAAGGTGCAATTGTATTACTGTAAAGGTTGCCATACGAAATTTGATTGTTTTGTTTCCGTACATATTTGGTGACGGAAGTCAGATAATGATTATAAACCGTACAATTTGCATACACATTGGCTCATTTGCACTATAATGAACCCAGTGCTGCCTTCCCGGGAAAAACAATGTAACTCACATTTTTGTCAATTTTGAGATAATATCATGTCCCAACAATGAGCATAATTTATCTTTAAGCCTAATAAAATTTAGGGATTTTCCGTGGTAAAACTATGTAACTAAAAGATTACTGGGCAAAACAACATACTGTATCTCCGATGAAGATCCGCTGTTTTGGCTCGGAATTGCATTTGAGCTGATAAAGTTTGGCACCGCAATATTAACATAATAATAATATGATTTCCCCATACGTGATAAATAAAAAAATTAAGTCGCACTTGTAGCGATATTGCGTCTGACAATTCTCAATGTTTCCAAGGTAAAACAAGGTATCTGTAATGTCATAAATAACTTTGTAATACACTGACAGTTAAAAATTTTATATACAGTACATAATTTCTATAGATATACGGTCCTGGAAAATTTCAGAAGGGTACGACAATTTCTTTCCAAGTTGCAAATTTTAACTATATTTTACTTGAAAAGTGAAAATTTTTAGTTGTTTTTTTTTTTTAAAGGCTGTGGGTAGCTAAAACACAAAGTGACCATTAGGTAGAAGGAAGCTACTGTTTAAGCTAGTCCATGCATCCTGCACTTTTAAGACTTTGTGTGACAAATATTCTCTTGTTTCATATTCCGGTTGGCGCATGCGGTAATTTGGTCTCTCAACATTATGTTGGGAGTTCAAACGCTACGCTGTCCATTGGCTTGTGTCCTCAGGCGAGACAATTTATCCACATTGTCTTTCTCTATCCAGGTTTGTAAGTGGGAACCTTGTAGGCATTGTGTTATTATTATTATTATTATTATTATTATACCTCATTATAATATAATGGCCCTTTTGTAAGTGATTCCAAGTACATTCGATTCCTTCAACTTACTATCATCATAATCATAATTATTAGCATGCTCTTCATCTATATGCACAGAAAAAATTTTGCCAATGGTTTTCGTTTTGAGGAAGAATCCACAGTTGGTAAATTTTACCAGAGCATTGTCTCACTCCCAAATCACTTGCACTCAGTTTTAAATCTTGATTCTCAGCCATTATTATTAATTTAGTCTTGATTTACATTATGGTACTATTCTTCAAAGTGATCAAAATATTTTGAACACTGACAACCGTCTGGCAAAAGTATTTTACGCTTACACTTCCTCAATAAATTATTTCAATAATAATAATTTTTTACATTGTGTAGTCTTTGTAAATGTGTGAAATCTCCAGATCATCCCATGCACTGTTCTGCTATATGTATTGTAACTTTGTTGTTAAAAAATTATTGCTTATTTACTGTTACAAATACGAAGTCTTTTATGCATTATTTTTAATTATGTATTCTTAAAAGGCCTCGTATACTGTAGTTTATGAAGCAGTAAAATCTTGATTTTTGAATGTGTTCTATACTTACCTTAAACAGGGAAATTCCTCGTGAGTTGCTGCAGCAAGCAAGAGGTGGAGAAGTGCACTTAGATATGGAAGACCATAGAGAGGAAGAGTACACGGCTCCTAAGCCCAAGGTTAAAGCATTTTCAGGCACTGGCCATATGTTAGGGAGGTAGGTTACCATCATTAATTGAGTTAAATTTCTTTCTTTTTATGAAAAAGACAGCAAACACAACAATTTTTAGTTCCTATGCATGTATGCAATAAGAACTATTGTAATCACTCTTCACTGTTTTTCCTGTGTGTAGTGTGCGTTTGCGTGTAGACATTTATGCAAATGCGCATGCGTCAAAGAAAAGTTTTTGCGACATTTTGTTTTACCTCGTGATGCAAAGTTTGATGTGAAGTTTCTGCAGTGTTCAGTCAGGGCTCATGCTAACCAATCGGCAAGTCGGCATGGATGAAACTATTTTGGTTTTGTGGCAAAAAAAAATCAACTGCAGTAGGCATAGGCATTTTGAAGAAGGCCTAAATAAAAAAAAGGTTTTAATACTTGCTGAAATACATCGTTTTTTTCATTTAGATCTCCATTTTTCGCTACCTCCATGCGATGTTTTTTGTTGTTGTATGAGTAGTCATATGAAGGTACTATATCCCCGGCAGTTGGCTATGCAGCAGTGTACCCTTTGAATGCAAACTGAAGACAAGTGAAGATATAAAGGCGGCCGACTGTCGGGTACATAACGACTCTCTAGCTTAGGCTTTCCACAAAAACATGAGGCCTAGGCTAGGCCTAGTTTAGTACAGTTATTACTGCGAGGGTGGTAGATCCTTTAATCAGTGATATCGTGTTGTCGTCTAATACATTTAAATAATGTGGGTAAAATTTAAGAATGTACCGCGTGGGTCGCTTTCTTTGACGGCAGCAATGCTAGGCCTAGCCTAGGGCCTAGATCGTGTACGTTCTTGATCATCTTGATGAAAACTTTGGGTGACAGACGATCGGGCCCAGCTGGTGTGGATGATCGTGCCCAAGCTATTTTCAAATAAATTGTAGTCTAGTAGGCCACTGCCAGCTCTCCCACTCCCGATATTGTTCCAAACTACTGTAAAATGAAAATACCGTATACCTAGCTAGGCCTAGCCTAGGCCCTAGGCCTACGAAATTTTTTCAAAGAAATTTGCTAAAAATATTACTATAATTTGCCTATCAAATTAAATTACCAATGTGGTCTAAAATCATTATTTTGGGCCATAAAGACCCCCTGAATTTTTCAACCACCACACAAATTTGACCCAACCATATTTTCTGATTATGTAATCTATGATGACTTAATCAGAAAATATGGTGGGTTAAGTCATGTATCATGCATAGGAACATTGGCACCTGCAAGGCTCTGGTTCTGTTGTTTCTTCCTGTTTTCTGACTTAAAATCACACTTAAAATTGTCTTCCGTTGGCATACAATGTCGATATACAAGCTCGATAACATCACAGATAAAACAGTCTGTTGTCAATGGCTTCATATTATCTAAAAGCTAATGTCAGGGTTTAGGAAGGGAGTATCCTTTGCCCTGTGCTATGATGTTTACTGAAAAGTTGGCTTCACAATTTCATAATGGTTACTGTTTTTTAGTACTACTATATACTTTTTAATTGTAAAAAAAAAAAAAAGAAATTACATGTTATTAATTAACTACAGCCCAGCTCCTACTGTTGTTTCATCTGCTAAACCTGTGGCAGCTGCAGCCAGCAGTGGTTCTTTAGGGCAGCAAACGATTCAAGTAGATACATCTCAACCACAGACAAATATCCAATTAAGATTAGCTGATGGATCTAGGTAAGTCAATTTTATACATTTCACCCTCCAATTCGGGACCACCATTAACATTTGTGGTGTCTCGGAGTTGGTCTCCAATTAGAGGGCTAGCTTTGTGTTAAAAGGTTAGGGATGGTGCCAATTTTATTGTACTTCGTGTACTGAAGTACACCGCGGTATACGCAGCACTACGTAAGCCCTTTCGTTAATTAGGTAGGAGTGGTCTTTTTCACAGAAGCATTAAAATGTTAATAAAATAGAGTGAGCATGCTGTTTGATATCCTTGACTAATTACAATATCGTCTTCCGCAAATCTACCAATTTTGATACAGAGTTTTGTCGTAAATTTATCATCTGCCGTTGGGTTTTTCTACGAAAATCCCACACATTTTGTTCTTTTCTAAACTTTGGTTTCTAACCCAGTTGCATGACATAATTCACTCATGTTCATTTTGACTTGAGAATTTCGACAAAACTGGCTGCTAGCCAAAAAAGGTCAATCTCAACGTCTTTGTATGCCGCCAACACAAATATACTGTGAAGCAAGGACAGAAGTATGTCACAAGTACAGACGAAGAATTGTTAGCCTATGTTTATGAAAATAATAAAGTACAGTTTTAACTGCTTTCTTTGTATTATATTTATGTTCACCTTTTTAATTTTAGGAACGTTCATCATGTCTTTTGTTGGTATGACGATCAATGTTATGCTGTTTATTGATTCAGTTATGAGCTATCCAGTCCGAGTATAACATCTAGTTGCACATGTGCAAATTATATATTTTTATTTTATTTTTAAATTAGATATTTTTCGCTAGTTCCATGAACTACTATCATGGAGGTCCATTCTGGGGGAATGTGATGTGCGAAGCGCTGAACTGGGTTGGGGTGATGTTTCCATAGACACGGGGAGAACATTTAATAAAATCGAAAATTACCCTAGTTTGGAGATTTTGCTCTCCTGTTTATTTTTTTGTATTACTCTTCTATCCCTCTTTTTAAGGGGTTCGTGGACCACCCTTGGTACATATAAACTGAAAAGCATGCATACAAAATATAATTATTTCTCAATCACTGTTCTCTAAAACAACATTTTCATCACATCTATAAACACATGGTACCAGCATGCAGTGTATCCCATTCTCTGCTGCATCGAAAAGGACGTTTGAAGTCAACTAAATAGGCCCTGTATAGCAACAATAATCAACAACTACAGTAGAAAATTTCATGTGCAATTAAAAAAAATATAATAGAAATTTAGCCACATATAAGTGTCTTTTAAGAAATTTTAATTGATTTAGTTTGATTACTACATTTACATTTGAAAATCTTTGTTTTTGAAAATAATGATATTATTTTACCTTGCATTTTAATGATAGAGTCTTATCATTTCAGCGATGCAACAGCACAACAGAACATGTGCTTCTCTTCCGAACTGTGGAAGGGTGGGGGTGTGAGCAATACAATCAACAGCTAATTAATTTGTGAAACCATGTTTTTAGCCCGGTTTACAGAATGATTTAGGCAAGACTTTTTAAAATAAAATAAATAAAATTGACAAGTGCAATTAGGCAATAAAGTGGCACCATAAGTTTCAGATTAAAAAAAAATTTTTTTTTTCTACGCCCGCCTTGAAATCTTTCTTAAATAGAAAAATAATATATAGAAATTATCAATCACACAATTCCATGGTTTACAATCATCAATCAAATGTTTTCTCCTCCGCCTAGATGCTTTTGCAAAATCATTCTGCTTTACACAGTAGGCCAGGGAGTAGGCCATTTAGACCTACTTCATTCTCTATCCCGCACTCAAAATCTGTGTCCACCATCAGGTCCCCCATGTAAAATTTTTATATATGCAAGGGTATACATAAAAACACGTTATCGTAGTCTATGGAGTTTCTCAATATGATTATGTAAAATAAAGACAACAGCACTTTTGAGACTAACAATATAATATTTATTCTCTAGCTATCGTCCACACGGTGGACTTCATCAGTCTCTTTGTGAAAGTCAGCCATGCAATGGAAACATGTGTTTCAACAGTCGGATGAGTGTGAGCAATAGATTCAATAACTAACACTGCTATCTCTGTTGATCGCTTGGTCTGGACTTTGGAATGCACCTGAAAGAACGAACTGTAGCTAAAAATAAAATTAGGCTATGGGAAAAGTTTTCAGGGCTTCCTGACTGGGAATTTTTCTTGTGAACGTTCTCAGGCTGATTAGGATGATATAATAAAGTTTTATAAATACAGTACTAATATACTATGCAAATGTTCTATGATGAAATACAACAATCCTGCACTGCACACAATCTGTCCAAGGAGGTATACCTCCTTGATCTGTCTGTGTGTTTACACCAGAGAAGAATTGTACTTTATTATAGTAGCAAATTATTTACTTACTATAGTTTTGCCGACAGCGGTGTAAATATCAAAAACCTCGCCAACATATTTAAAAGTTAAAACCGTGGACGGTGCATTTTTTTTTTTTTTTACAACACATAGCATATTATTATGGTAGTATTCTTTGCTGTATAGGCATTGTTATCGTCAAAACCAATGAGCCGTATCTCGGTGGTTACTATCGTCATGCTTAACTGCTCAGTCAACAGTCATTATTCAATAATATACTATAGTTTTGCCGACAGCGGTGTAAATATCAAAAACCTCGCCAACATATTTAAAAGTTAAAACCGTGAACGGTGCATTTTTTTTTTTTTACAACACATAGCATATTATTATGGTAGTATTCTTTGCTGTATAGGCATTGTTATCGTCAAAACCAATGAGCCGTATCTCGGTGGTTACTATCGTCATGCTTAACTGCTCAGTCAACAGTCATTATTCAATAATATACTATAGTTTTGCCGACAGCGGTGTAAATGTCAAAAACCTCGCCAACATATTTAAATTTAAATCCGTGGACGGTGCATTTTTTTTTTTTTTACAACACATAGCGTAATATTATGGTAGTATTCTTTGCTTTATAGGCATTGTTATCGTCAAAACCAATGAGCCGTGTCTTGGTTACTATCGTCATGCTTAACTGCTCAGTCAACAGTCATTATTCAATAATATACTATAGTTTTGCCGACAGCGGTGTAAATATCAAAAACCTCGCCAACATATTTAAAAGTTAAAACCGTGAACGGTGCATTTTTTTTTTTTTACAACACATAGCATATTATTATGGTAGTATTCTTTGCTGTATAGGCATTGTTATCGTCAAAACCAATGAGCCGTATCTCGGTGGTTACTATCGTCATGCTTAACTGCTCAGTCAACAGTCATTATTCAATAATATACTATAATTTTTACCGACAGCGGTGTAAATATCAAAAACCTCGCTAACATATTTAAAAGTTAAAACCGTGGACGGTGCATTTTTTTTTTTTTTACAACACATAGCATATTATTATGGTAATATCCTTTGCTGTATAGGCATTGTTATTGTCAAAACCAATGAGCCGTATCTCGGTGGTTACTATCGTCATGCTTAACTGCTCAGTCAACAGTCATTATTCAATTTGTTATTAAAGGAATTACCGAAAACAGTGTGGGCTTGCATAAACGAAATTGCAGTAACATCGTTTACGCGGCTACCGAGGGTAACAATAAGAAAACCGCAGTACACGAAGTACAAAAATATTGTTACCATCCCTTAAAGATTGTTATTTGGGTCTCCAATTAGAGGGGTCTCGAATTGGAGGGTGCACTATATTTATATACTGTATATATATATATACTGTATATACTATATATATATATGAAACTAATTTGGCCTATCAACAGTGTATGGGCGGTACTAAAACTTAATGAGAAATATATATAAAAAAACAGTGATCTTAGTAAATTTTTCTAAAGCAATGAGTGATCATTAGCAAAAACAATAACTTTGACAAATAAACAGTTTCTAATGAGAAATCAGGTACAGACATTCCCACAGTATGCCGACTGCATGGGGATGGATTCTAAACAAATAGTATATTGGTCAAAATTCAGAATATACACAGAAAATGAAAAATCAAAATATAGTAAAACACCATGATAGGATCATAATATGTATGGAACAGCAGTATAGAATAAATATAAATACAGTATATATGAAGTCTGTAGCATAGTCTAATAAATATACAGTAATATAATTAACAGAAATAGTGGTAGGAGTGAACAATGAATCTATATTGGCTGGCTTAGTTACTATCTTTGATGAATGTGTACTCACTTGCAAAGCCCATGTCTATATAATAATACTGTAATACATATAATTGGCATGTATTTTTGGAAAGTATTGTATACTTTATCAAGTTGTTTACATGAGGTTCAAAAGAAGCTTATGTAAATACAGGAGAAGGTTGTTCACTATGTTTTCATGCAACTGTTTTCAGTGATAAAATCTGCAAAATCCCTGCAACATTCAATACAACATTGAAATCTCATGGAAAAATATCAAATGTTTCTATATTAAATGCATAGATTGAAACCATTAAATGACACTAAGTGCTTGAAATTATAGCCTGGCAGAGAATATAGGAACCATATTTCATATTTGGGTTTTGTTTTATTTTCTTTACAGGTTAGTTGGAAAATTCAATCACTCTCATACCTTAGCTGATATCAGGAATTTCATTGTTGCGTATCCTTTTTATAATATTTTGTTTCACATGATCTGTATTATTCATACTAATGGTGATGATAAAAATCTGCATGTCTAAGAATTGATTGTTTGATTTTATGTACTATTCAAAGAAAGTCTTGAGGTGCATTGTATTATTGATTGTAGTTAATAATTAAATACAATTTTGATATTTTAATTGCTGATGATTTTGATGTATGCCTGACAATGTGAGTCTCATCAGTACTGCTGTAGTAGAAATCCTGATGTAAAGTCTGCTACTTATATGATTAATAGAAAGTTGGTGCTTACAGTATCTTCCAAAATACCTGTGTTTTTGGTGTCAATCACATTTTCTTGATTATAAACCATAATGTAGTTCATAGAACACCAACGTATGTATGGTGTCTCTAGTTGTACGATGAGAGCGGCCAGAAAAATGTAAAATGCTTTTTAAATTCTTCAAATTCAAACCTTTTGAAGACAATTTAAACTATTTTAAGATTTCTATATTTTTAGGGCAACTTGTCATAAATTCACTTGATCTTCAAACAAGATCTGAATAAATTTTATTTTATTTTGTGTGGGATGCTTTTTTGATTGACCAAGTTGAAGGCTTTTCTGAAATTTACAAGAGTTATTTTTGTTCACTGCCATTCCTCAGTTGTCATACAGCACAAAAATATGCTTGTTGATTTTGGTGTTTATTCCATTTTTAGTTCTGTCAACTCTTTCAAATAACCCAAAGACACATTTCTTGGTGTTTTGTTGATGCTTTCATGTTTTTGGAAACTGCTTATTGTATCAAGTGCCTTGATATTTTTATTTTCATTTTTTATCACAACCAAAAACAGTACAAATACCTACCTAATCCTTATTAAGTCATTTATGTAGTGCATTATTTCTTTTGAAAGGGATTGCTACATGAGTAGGACAGTGATAAGGTTTACTATATTGGCAATCCTTGCCCCATATGTGGTTTAAAAAAAAAAAAAAAAAAAATCCCATATGGTTCTGAACAGGTTTTGGGTGAGACAGAATTTCCATTATTATTAGTCATACCAATATTCTAGGAGATTTATGACTTTGATAGAGCCTAATTTTCGACATGAAACATACACCATTTGTTAATACTACTTCCAGACCAAATTTGGTTTTTGTGTCTCTTATTTTTCTAAGTAAGGTAGTGTTTCGAAATTAGGGTATCTTGAATTGGGGCTGAATTTGTCACTTAACCAGTGCTGGTGGTATCCAATGAAAAGAGGCTATACAGTATGGATGGTAGCTTGTTGCTCAGTGGTGGTGATTCACATTATTTTAAATTGCTTCTTTAATTTTTATATTGGATATATTTATTTTTAGTTATTACTCCAATTTTTTCTCAATATATGGCCAGTCATTTAGCATCTGCTGAAAGTATGTCCACTCATTGATTTGTCTGTCCTTTGATTATTGCTGGGTTTACCAGTAAATATTTCCCACACGTATTGCATTCAATTTTATGAGCAACACAACATTGTTTTCCTGTTGGAATCGTTCGTTTATAAGAAGTTGTGTTTTCATTATAAATTGCATGTGCAGACTATCCTATATTATATTTTAAAAATGTTATGACCTGCACCTGCACAATTCAACAAGAAATATATTGTAGCACCATCCTTTTAGTTGTCTTACAAGGGCAAAACGAGGAGTTTTCACACTACGAAAGCAACACATGCGAGTATTCATTGTTCAAAGTATGTTAGTACAGTTCAGTGGAAGGTAGCAGACTATTTGTATGTGGAATGGACTACTTCAGTGAGAGCCGCTGATACAAAGGTGTATGTTCACTAAATAACAGAATACAATATAATAAAGTGACAATGTTTACCCAAAATTTTGACACCCAAAAAGTCAATTAAGCTTTTAAAAAATATGTAAAGAAAAGGGGATGTCTACATCTATCACAATGTTTCAGCATGTACTAAGAATGTATAATCCAGTTTTAATATTTAGAATTGGGGATGTTCATTTTCTTTAATGAGCATTTAGCAAGATGTCTGGCAAGAAGATTTTTAATGTTAACTGATAATTGCATGACCATTCATATTAAGTTCATGATGATAAATGTTGTTCCTGTTTATAAATAGTCAATTAAGTGATTAAATTGGAGCTAGATTTAGAATTTGTTCCTGAAATGTTCATTTTCTTAACTGAGCATTAAGCAAGATATCTGGCAAGAAGAAACAGTCTCTCAAAAAAATTGTGGGAGGAAAGACTAAGAAAGAATCTCCTGAAAAGGTTCCTGAAAGGAAGTTAGAGAATTCATCTTTCAAAAGAAGGTCCTGGACAATGCAGGAAAAAGTTGATATTATACAGTGGCATAGGGAAAATAAGTCGAGCCAATCATCAACAGCCATGCTGTTTGGATGCGACAGGAAACGTATTCGTGAGTGGGACCGAAATTACGAAGAGTTATTGCTTCTTAGTAGTACATCAGGATTGAGTAAAAAGAAAAAGATGCATAGCGGTAAAAAGCCACTGAGCTATGAATTGGACTACAAGCTTCTACTTTTCTTAGACCAACAGCGTAAACGTAGAATACAGGTTACTAATATTATGCTGCAGAGTAAAGCCTGTGAATTAGCCAACCAACTCAACATTTATAATTTCAATGCATCAAGTGGATGGTTGTCGAGATGGAAAAAACGGTCAAATGTTGCCATACAATTGGGAACCAATGAACATTTTTGTAATGATTCCCAGCAGCAGATGATCCAATTCCAAAAGGAAATAATCAACAAGCGAAAAGAACATGATATAAAAAACTTCCATATATTAACTATGCACCAAATAGTTGTTAGGTTTGATAGTACAAGTGACATCATACATGTAAGTAAAGAAAAGGTAATGCATGGACCACCAACAGATATCAGTGGAAAAGAGCTTATACAGGTGCCACACATGAATGATAGCAGAGAAGAGTTATTACAGGGATCATCAACAAATATCAGTGAAGAGGAGCTCGTACGGATGCCACTGATGAATGATAGCAGAGAAGAGTTTTTTCAGGGATCACCAACAAATGTCAGTGAAGAGGAGCTTGTACAGATGCCACTGACAAATGACTGTAGAGAAGAGTTAATACATGGACCACCAACAAATGTCAGTGTACAGATGTCACTGACAAATGACTGTAGAGAAGAGTTAATTCTGAGACCACCAACAAATGCTGTTGGAGAAAAGTTAATACAGGTACCAACAACAGGAGATACTGGAGAAAGTTTATTATGGAAGAGAGGATTCACAGTCTGTTTTTGTGTTTGTGCTGATGGCCATAAGTTACCAGCATGTATTGTCTTCAAGAAACAAAATGGAGATATATCTCCACCTGTTAAATCTCCATTTTGCATGCCAGTTAATATTAGAGTAGGAGCTTCCTCTAATGGACGGATGCACGGCCAATGGTTAGGCAGTATACTGAATGTGTTACGAGATTTTGATGAAACTGACCCATTGTTGTTAATTTTGAACCGACACAATACTTATAACTTTACTAAAACATGTGAAATTCTAAAAAAATTGAACATAGAAACAGTTTGCATACCTGGTGCTTGTACTAATGTTTCCCAATGGATAGATGCCTGTATAAATGTGCCATTTAAGAAAAAGTTTTATGAACTTTGGAAGGCTTGGCTGTCGACTAATAAGGAAAGGACCTTTGATGGGAGCTTAAAGGCTCCATCACGATATCAAGTGATAAACTGGATCAGCGAGGCCTGGGAATCCATATCAGAAAAAGAATTAAGCCAAGTGTTTTTGAGATGTGGCATTTCAAATGCATTGGATGGATCACAGAATAGTGAAATAAAGGGTTGTAGTGAGCTCACACTACCAAAAAAAGAGTTGGAAAACGATTTGACATGGGTTGTATTTAATGATGAATGTGAAGATGCTGTTATCGAGTTTGAGGGATTTGGTGATGAGGATGATGACTATGATATTTAAGAAAAGACATTATATTGTTTAATTTCAAAGTGTATTACCTGTGTTTAGATTCAGTAACAGTGGCAAAAAAGTGTACAGTATCTGTTATTTTCTTATTTGACAAATCTTGATAAATCTGGTATTAACTGCCAGCTAAAGCTAATGCTATTGAACGTTAGATGTCCCAAGTCGCCTGCAAGCTGCGATATAGAAACCAGGATGCACTCCAACAAGTAAGCAAAAATCTTCCGGAAACTAACCAATTTTCCGCAAATTTATAATCTGGAGTCAGTTTGCAATTGGTATTACCATGCACATCAAAATATAATTAGAAGTTTTAAGAAAGTCTATTTAACTACATCTTCAGGAAGTGGCTTCTTCTAACTTGTGACCCCTGTATTGCTTACCGAGCCAGTCTCTGCAAGAGTTAACAAATTTTAAGTAATACAACATATTTTAGTACAGTACTGTATACTGTAAAACCTTAAATTTAAGGCCTTTTGAGAATGAATGCTGTAAGTTCTAGGAAGTAGTACTATAAAACAATTATAAATAGGGCCACTGTGATGTTACTGTATACTGCAAACCAAGCATGTTTTTAATTATTTTGTTTCTTTGAAATTCATGTACATTGTACGTACACTACTATCTCGTAAAGAAGCCTATGCTATCTTGAAAAGCCCATGGGTTTCTTTAGAGGCTAAATTTGCAAACTGAAGAGGTGGGCTTCAATTCGAGATGGGCTTCTTTTCGAGATTAAGCCCATTGGGCTTCAAATCTATAGGTTTTACAGTATTTATTATTATGTTGATTTTGTACAGCTTACATAACGGTAATAATTTGGTAAAGCAATGTTAAATTATTTGAGAATATGTCTTTTTTTTATTACTTATAGTGATACAGTATTAAACTTTTAAAAAATTACTAGATTTCCATAAAAATATTAAAATTATGCTATAACAAAAAGGGAGTACAATATTTTCAATATTTAACTATTTCCAAATTAAACTATTTGTTGTAAGCAGCATTAAGATACACAATTTAGATTTGTGATATTAATTTTTTTTAGATTCATTGCAAAAATTAGATTCACACATAAAAAAAACAAAGGTATTGGTGAAAGCTTGTGGAATTCATACAATACTTAGGCTAAAAGAGCTGTATTTTGTGTGCTACAGTAAATTAATTGGTAGAATTTCAAATGTTTGTTTTCCTTAAGTGATGAATACAGATCACATCCCCAATATGCAGCCCAGAGCTTTGTTCTAATGACAACATTTCCAAATAAGGAATACAGTGTGGACAATCAGACAATTGAAGATGCCAAACTACAGAATGCAGTGCTGGTCCAGAGACTCCGATGAGGAAAAATTCCTGGTCATTTTACTGGTGGATCGGATCTGGAATTGGTTGCACTTCAGCACATTCTCTGCCATGCTGTATTAGAGTTCTCTATTTTCCACAAGTTTTTAAGGGTAGAAATTATTCTCCAGTTGCATGTAATATCACAACAAACAACATAAATTTATTTTAAGATTGCTACAGTACATGCTTTAGTGCTCAAGTATTTCTTGCAGTTAGTGACTGGTAGCATTACCAGTGTGTTATTTATTTATTTGAATTCACACAAATATACAATAAAGTTACAATGATATAAAGTTACAATAGACAATACAAAAGAAGAGCATACAGCTGCGAGTAGACTTGTTCATGGCTCCGCTGTACTCTTGTTCATGGCCGTGAATGTGGTGAACCTGTACTCATTATACAGGAGTAGAATCTAAGATAATTTTACAACTACAGTAGAGTTTACAATGTCTGTTTTACCTAATTCAACTTGGTGTTAATCTCATTGTACAGTACCACATTTTTTGAAGGTGCCCTGGGCACATTTATTGCATGTATCTATCTTGACAAATTCAGATTTTCATGATAGAGGATAAAATAAATTAATGTTATAATTTCAAAAGCAGCTTTACACTCAGTTTATGTAAGGGCTACCAGGTTCTTTGGTTTACCCATGTCATTGTAAAAGGATACATGAGCACCTCACTACAGCTACAATAAAGTTCCTGACCACAACTGTACAGTGACACATGAGTTGGGGGTTAATTTACCTTTGTGGAAATGAAAATTTCTTTACATAGAAAAAAAAATCACAAAATATATATGATTTAATTAATATAAGGGCAGCTGTTTGGCTCAGCGGTTGAGGTTCAGACTTTCAATCGTAAGGTCGGGGTTTCGAGTCTCCGCTGTGCAGATTCGCTTGTGTCCTTGGGCAAGGCACTTTAGCTACATTGCTTCAGTCCACCCAGCTGTACCAATGGGTACCAGCAATCTGCTGGGGACTAACCTGCGATGGACTAGTGTCCTGTCCAGGGGGAGTACAACTCTCATCCACTTCACACTACAGAAACTGGGAATAAGCTCCAGCCCTATGAGCCCCAGTGGCTCGGAAAGGAATTAATTATGGGTTTTAACTGACAAATTGCCATAGACATTGGGAATGAGCAAGCTGTTCCACAACACCCTCATTTAATTACTGAGTCCAATCAGCCTTCCATGTCAATGCATGGCATGTTACTGGCATCATGATGTATACCGTTGGGTGTGACGCAGAAAAATCGACACAGATACCACCACTTACGAGTTTATTCTTTAATATACAATCTGATACCTCTCTGGTATATTTTGTATAATCCGGTAATATCTGGTGACTAAACATTATGAAACAATAAATCAATTAATATAAGTACTCTGAATACTTTCTTTAAATGTTACCAAAGTCATAATATTGTATAATGATATAAATATGCCTATGCTAATCATAGTTACCAACCGTCTCGCATCTCAAAGTGATTTTGGATGAAACACTCATTTTTCAGTAACGCATGCGTGATCATAAATTTTTCATGCATTTAGCACAAGTCAATGCGTGATAACGAATTATCACAAATTCCGGGGAAAATGTATTTAAAATTAGAAGAAATTGGTTTTATTAAAAATATAAAAAAAAACGGTCATCAGATCGTCGGAGCGCCACGGGCCACGCTTCCCGCCGGGCTCCCCTTAGACCTCGCCCCCCCCCAGGTTGGTAACTATGGCTAATACAGCACATCACTTTACTACAGTAACTGCCTTTTAAACTTTGGCTATAAAATGCAACCATATTCATTGAGCATCATTAAACATACATACTTGATCCTGACGCACCTTAACCATGTAGGGCCTATCAATCAGTAGAGCGAAGACACACGTATCATTATAGTCAGCCCGCTGTTGTCTCCTAACGCATACACTCCCCTTCTAAAATCCTTCTTAGGATTTTATATTCAACATTTTTTTTTTTATATAAAACAACTAAAGTTAACAGTCAGCTTCCAAATCACATCTTAGAAGCGATAAACTACTCAGCACCCTCAAGTAAACACAACTTAGTATATAGACCATTCTTCATCTTAACTGTGACTGATCTAACAGTGCCATAACTACCAGGTTGCATCGGACAGGACTCCTCTGAATTCCTCAAGAATGCTGGTCCCTGTAACCAACAGTTACTTTCCAATAGCTGTTGTGCACCCAGCCCTCTTAGACACATCGTCTTCTGGGTTCAGTTCACCCTTTACCTGTTTCCATTGGTTGAGCTTAGATCTGTCATGAATAGTGGCAAGTCTATTACTCACAAATGTTTTGAACCTTTTATCTTCATTACGTACGGTATATACAGTAAGACAATCATACTATCGGTCCAAAACGTAGAAGAATCAATTGGTAGGTCGAACTCCCTACGAATCACCATGTCCACCTTGGCGGCCATCACAGCGGCCATCGGCTAACCTTGGCACAGTTACCTTTTTAGTTCCTATGCATGTAATGCAATAGGAACTATTGTAATCACTCTTGCTATTTCCTATGTTTTTTATTGTGTGTAGTGTGTATGTGTGTGTGTAGACATTTATGCAAATGCGCATGCGTCACTCAAGAATGCTGGTCCCTGTAACCAACAGTTACTTTCCAATAGCTGTTGTGCACCCAGCCCTCTTAGACACATCGTCTTCTGGGTTCAGTTCACCCTTTACCTGTTTCCATTGGTTGAGCTTAGATCTGTCATGAATAGTGGCAAGTCTATTACTCACAAATGTTTTGAACCTTTTATCTTCATTACGTACGGTATATACAGTAAGACAATCTTACTATCGGTCCAAAACGTAGAAGAATCAATTGGTAGGTCGAACTCCTTACGAATCACCATGTCCACCTTGGCGGCCATCGGCTAACCTTGGCACAGTTACCTTTTTTATTGGACATAGCCGCGACTTAGCAAGTAGCAGTTCAGAAGCGATGTTCCCTCCTTTGTTTACTAAACGGATATAAGACGCTGTTCGATAGGCTACCTCAGAAGCATCCGAAAAATGATGCAGCTCATATTGGTCGATTCTTCCGAAATCATGAGGTTTGAAACATCTGTTGATCTTGAGCCTTTTAAGAAATGGAAGTTCTTGCTGCCATCTTTGCCACTGTGTGATCACTTCTTCGGGGAGAGGGTCATTCCATCCGATATTTCTCTGTATTAGCTCTTGGACCAATATCTTCCCTGTCAACACAAATGGTGCAATTAGACCGTTGGGATCAAATACGGAATTCAATAAACTCGGCATCCCTCTTCTAGTAAAATCCACATTACTTCCCTTTACAGCAAACAAATGCAAAGGCATCTAACTTTCCATTGTACAACGAGGGCTTTATCTACCGGCAAGGCGCTCTGGTCTAAGTCTAAACTTTTAATACCATTTGCCTGACCTTCTTCTGGGATGGCTCACAATTGCAGGACTATTGCTCAGCCATTTTGTTAACTTGAATCCACGAGTAGCCAACAAATCCGTCAGTCCTTATTTCTTCCGCTTCATTATCAACAGATGCCAAACAATCATCGAAGTAAAAATCTCATTTTACTCGTTCAGTTATTTCAAATGGATATATTTGATTTTCCATAGCAGTACGACGTAGAGCAAATGTACAGCACCACGTTCCTCCAAAGAGGTGCACACACATTCGGTTTCTGTAACACCGGTCATCCCTTCATCAGCCCACCATAAATACTTTAACACATTTCTGTCCTCTTCTGGAACATGGACTTTGATGGAACATGCTCTTTACATCTCCATAACTGCAAACTTATATCTTCTAAATCTTAGAACTCCTCCACCCAAGTTGTTAGTGAGGTCGGATCCCTGATGGACTACATCATTTAATTACACGCCCTTGTATTTGGCTGCACAATTAAACAATGCCGATAGCAGGGACGGATTTTTTTTTGGGGGGGGGGGGTGTTGCCCGGCCCCGGCTCCCCCTTTTGGGAGGTAAAAAAAAGGGGGAAAAAATGATAGCCCAGAACGCCTCAAATGTTATTTTCGGGCGTCTAGAACACAAACATTTCGCGGGGGAATTCCAGTACTGTACTGCCTACGCCAAGCCAAATCTGTCTCAGCACTCGCTTCGCCTGGGTCTGATCAGTCAAGCAGAACATCTAGAAGTCCCATTTTTTAAATAAAAAAATCTCGTTTTGGTAGGAGGGGACACCCCCTCCCATACCCACCCAGTGGCATAACAGGCGGGGGGGGGGGGGCACCCTAACGGTTTTTACCTGGCTGACCTAGCTGTCGTACCGGGCTGGTAATAACAGAAAAGAAAGAGAGGAGAGGGACTAAAAAGAAAAGAAGAAGAGAAGAGAAAACTAAAGACAGGAATAAAAAGGAAGATATCATAATGACCAGAATCACAACACACCCTGCAACCCCTTCTCCACTTCAAAATGTGTCCATAGCTCCTTCGATTTAAGCCGCCAAATATTCTTCACTCACAGTGGTGTAACCACCGGGGGACAAGGGGAAAATATCCATCTGTGGAAAATCTTTCCCCACCCCTTGAAGATGCCCTTTCACCCCTTGAAAGTGCCACAAAAATCTCAAATTTCGCGCGCTTCGCGCCGATTTCTTGTTAAAGTGGACCAATCTCCTATAAAATTGCACATTTTAGGGAGTTTTGATAAATTCCGACGAAATTAGAATTAAAAACACAAATATTTTTTGTGCGCTTCGCGCCCATTTTGTAGGGTCTTTTAGGGTTAGCCTTCTAAGTTATTTAAACACATAAAATAGTCCAAAACCCAAGAAAAATTAAGATAGATCGTTTTACTTAA